TCAAGTTCGTTTCAGTCTTTCATTCAACAAACAGTCACTTGCCACCATGTATGAGCCACATCTGTTCTAGACGCCGGGTGGGTTTGATAATTAGATATGCAGTAAGATTCCAGAAGGATGGTTGAAAGCACTCACTCGTAGGCAACAGGTTCCGACCAAAGAAAGACTTCCACACCTGTCCCCTGAACCCTGGCCAGGCCACTCTGCGCCATCCACCATAAAACAGCCAGCCTGCGTTTTCTAACTCTGCGCCAGCCTTCAAAACCTAACCGTTTGTCTCTGTTCACCAAAACGTGAACACATGAAATATTTCCATTATTGTTGGCGATAATTTCAGATTTGCTTCCTGTTCTTATTCTTTTCTTTGGCAGGAGGGTGGGCGAGGAGTGAAACAGATCACTGCACATGAACTTCTATTGTGCCTATCACAACAGCAAGCACGGCAGCAACTTTCAGGCCACCGCCCTGGATTCCCTTTAAACAATATTTAGGAGCTCATCCTACATACTAGACTCTGTTCTAGGCACTGAGGTACCACAAGGAACAGACTTTGCCCTCATGAAGCTTATATTCTTGTGTGTGAAGACATACACTAGGCAGGTAAACTAATGCATATGTAAAATTACTCACTTCGTTGTATAATTGTCTGCCATTTTACTGCTGCCCCAAGTAGACAAGAGTTTCTCTCTCAAGGACAATGAGGATGCCAGATTCACTACTGTGTCATGAGCACCTGACCTGTGTCTAGCACAGAGGAATCACTCAATGTGCTTGTTGAATGAATGAATGAGTGGATTAAATTGAACAAATGTTTACTGTAATGCATGGTTGTTAATGAATGAATGGATAAATGAGATTGAATCACATGGCTGTTTTAATATATTATTACTGAATGAATGAATGAATGAATGAATGAGTTGGATCTAATTGAATGATTACTACAACAAAAAAACCCTGATATTGTTAGCCTACCATTTTCCAGGTCAACCATAAGCAGCCCCTATTGAGAATAATTCCTCCTCAGGCTATGAAGTCCCCCACAGGCATCCTCTGTGTGCCAACAGACTTCTGGTGTTCAAATCCTGCCACGCTCCCTGATTTAATCTCACTAGCTGCTTTCCAGTATGTTACTATTAGCTCTTTTATTTTGTTTTGCTTTGTTTCTAACTGAAGCAATTGTAAGGGGATTTCATTTCCTTTGTAGCCAGAATAGACCAGGCCCTCTTCATCTCACAGCTGTATTTACAACAACTGATTCCCTTTAGATGACTGAGCATTCACTTAAATCTTATGTCTATTTTAGGATTTGGGAGAAGCCTGTCTTTATAGAATCCATGAGTTTTTCTTGACGTGATCAGGGAGGACGTGTGTTCTGGGCTGGCCTGCCTAGGTTTCCCTTTCTCTTGGTAACAGCTCCCTGGTTTTCTTTCTTGTATCAAATCCTTCTCCTTGAGGGAGCTGGGCTGGAAACTAACTCTACTCCCAAATGTTAGACAAGGTCATGTGACTTAAGCTCAAAATATTCAACCTATTTCCACTCCTAGTGATTGGTATAGGGACAGTCACACAACCTACCCTAGTCCAGGGAGACGGCACCAGGTCTGCTGGGTAATAGTGTCTTCTCCCTGGTTTGCACATGAAGCCCATGTTCTGGAGGCATGGAGGAGAGGCCTGGGGGCTGAAGGCCTGGGTTCTGTTCCCAGTCCTGGTATCTATTAACTGTGCAGCACATCCCAGGGACTTGACCTCTCTGGGGTTGTCTCTGCCATTCTCAGTGCCATCCCTAGGCATGAAGGAGCTTCAAAGTCTAGAATTGGTCCTCCTGAGATGCAGAATCACTCTGAACTACAACTGACAGGATGGCAGATTTGCTTGCAGACATGGCTCTGAGATTCACTGAGAGAGGTCTTGCTGTGGTGTCCCTGAGTCACCCTCCCATGTCCAGTCTCTCCCTCTGTCCTGCTCCCAGCCCAGGAGGCCTGCCAGTGTAACTGCATCACTTGGACTCCTTGCTTGGCTGGTGTCAGATGGGGTCAGGCTAGTAGGAAGAGCAGTCACGCAGGAGCAGAGAAGGGGCAGGGGCTTCTTTCCTGCGTGCTCTCTGCCTGTGTGCCATGGTCTGGCAGGAGAACTGTGTGCCTTCATGATGAAGGGTCCTACAGGGCCACCCAAACTCCGACCTCATGGCCTCTAGTGACACAATCCATCCCTTCTCAATTGCCTTCTCCCATCACTAGTTCCTGTGTATCTCAGTATGCCTTGTTGATCTCACCCTCCTCTAAATAAAACCTTTATCAGAGTCTCTTCACTGAAACCCACTTACTGGTACAATTCTGACACAAAAGTCTTCCAAGAACAGAGTTAACACGAAGACAGAGGAACCTGCAAATGGAGCGTGGAATGGGTCCAGGTTTCATTGCTTGAAGTTGCCGGACCTCTGACTTTTCAATTGAAAGTGATAATAAATTTGCTTTACCAAGGTCAGTAATGGTGAAGCCCATGGAGGCATGGGGGCAGAGACCCGGAGGCTGAAGGCCTGGGTTCTGTTCCCAGCCCTGGTTTCTATTAACTGTGCGGCACATCCCAGGGACTTGACCTCTCTGGGTTGTCTCTGCCATTCTGAGCCATCCCTGGGCATGAAGGAACTTCAAAATCTAGAGTTCGTCCTGCTGAGATCCAGAACCACTCTGAACCAAGACTGACAGGATGGCAAAACCAAAGTCAAAAAAAGTGGGACGGATCTGGACATATCCTTGTTTCCCAGCACCCTGTATCGAGGCTTCTGGAATGACGTAGAATTCATTATTCCTGAGTGACCATATTGAATTTCTACTTCTAGGCTGGGGCTGTGACCCTGTGCCCAGATCTTATCTGCACAGATTTCTGCTCAGTGTGCACCTGGTTCAGTCCCACAGCTCCAGCCCTGCCTGGGCGGTCTCCTGTCACTCCTTTTTCCTCGCCTGACCCCATCCCCTCTCAGGCCTACAACTGAGGGACCAACATGCGTTGAAGCTGTGCCTTCCATGATCTCAGCAACCTGTGTGCTCTTATCTATAAAAAAAGAGAGAATCTTTATCCTATGACGTTGTGATATGGGTCAGTGAAGTCACTTATGGAAAGTCCACGGCCAGTGCCTTTCATGCTCTAGGGTAGATTACCTTCACTTAGCCTTCTGGGCATCAATTTCCACCTCTGAAAAACTGGCCATGTCACCAGTGCCGGATTGCTCCGGAAACACAGTTCTCTGAATTTCTCTAGCAGTCTTCTGAAGGACCTCCCTTTGTCCTGCTGTTCAGTCACATTCCATTCACCACAGAGATCTGACAACGTCCTAGCCCTCCATAAACCCCCCAGCATATCCTCCACTGAGCACACAAGGCCCTCCTTTATGGGGACCCTGACAATCTGTCAACACCCGGCAGTCCCTAATCTCCTCCTTTCCCCCAGCAGCATGGGTTCGTCATGGTTCATTGACCATGTCATGGCATCCCTTCATCCCACTCCATCTCATCCTTCTCCATCCCATGCAGTTCATGCCCACCCGTTAAACAACCTCCTCCAGGAAGCCCTCCCTCATTCTCAGTATCCCTACGCATACCACAACCACACACAGACCTGGCACATGAGACTCTCCCTGTGCCTTTATGAAAGTTTACCTGTGTGCCTTTCCTGCCTTCTAGATTACGAGCACCCTGAGAGCAGTTGCTGTGTCTTATCTTTTTCTGCAGCCCCAGAAATCAGCACAAAGCCACACACAAAAAGTAGAGCCCTGATAAGTATCTGTTGGATAAATAAGTGGAGGTTAACAGAACCAACACAGGGAAAAGAGTCATGCTGTGGTAAAGATGCCGAGAGCCACCCGTTTCAGAAATGGTTTAGCTGTTTTCTCTCTGAGCTGCAACCCTCGGGCACATCCCTGGGATTAGGCCCCTACCTCCTCTGCTGAGTCACACGTAGCTGCTCCCACTGCCAGCACCTTCCATGCTGCCCCAGCCCCCAAAGGCTTTCCTGGCCCCTGCACAAGGTGTGACCTGTGGCTTCCCAGCCAGGGGTTGTGCAGTCCTCTGCAGTCATCAGCAAGACAGAGGCTCCACACTCAGCTTGACCATCTTCAAAGCACAGCCCGTGCTGGGCCTGAAGGGGAAAGTTACTTAGCACCCGCTATGACCCAAGAAGGACAAATGTCACCCGAATGCAATAGGCAGAGGCAGAAACTGGAGATAGGCTGGAACATGAGAAACCCACTTCACCCTTCCTGTCCTGGGGAGGGGGCTGTCCTCAGAATGACCCTCACTAAATCCTGGAGGTCAGGCTTCCAGGTCAGAGCCCTGGGGGCCATCAGCTCTCTGCCTCCCTTCCCCCCATCCCCAGCCACAAACGACAGATTCCAGACAAAGAAACTTGGGGTCTTGGGTTATCTCAGAGGTCACGGGGTCAACAGCACTTGGCCTCTGAAATCAGCAACTCCTGACTATGTCTAAATGACTCTGGACTGTGGGGACAGCTGATGGAGCGTTGCCTGCTGATTTTCTTGCATGATCCCTCATCACAGCCCCTTGGGAGACCCTGCTATATGCGCAACGCTTCAGGCAGAACTTTGTGTGCACGGTTTCTAACTTCCACAGCTCCGGGCAGTAAATTGAGGATGTTCCCATGTCAGAGGTAAAGATGAGACACCAAGTATCTCCCAGGTGGCAGGGTGGTTAGAACACAGCCCTCTTTCATCCAAAACCCCTTCTTGACTCTGCCCACGACCCTGCCTCTAGATGGGAGAAGACATCCTTCCTGACAACAGAAACATCCACAGGATGCCAGTGCTACTAGGTTACCTGTGTGGCCAGACCCAGGAATGTGGGTTCCCTCCCCCTCTGCACCTGCTGCTTGCCCCGCCTTCCTGGAGCTGGCCGCAGGGTCCCTATCTGCCCAGGGACCCCTCCTCCTGTGGGCTCAGCAGGTGGCGTCACCCTTGGCAGGGGCACGTGGGGCCCGGGCACACTCACTTTCACACAGGCGGCGCCTCAGCTTGCCCCGGATCTTGTCGATGGCGTTGAAGTCGGACACGTGGAAGACGTGGGCGGACTTGGGCTCCGAGGCGATCTCCTCCAGCTCCTCCTTGAGCGCCTCGCCCACGCCCACGGCGAAGATGCGGATGCCAGCGCGGTGGGCGGCCGCCGCGGCATCCAGCACCAGGTCCTGACTGCGGCCATCGGTGAGCAGGATGGCCACCTGCTTGTAGGCGCGGTCCCCGGGGCGGCCGCCGGCGCGCGGGGAGAAGCTGCGGGCCGTGATGTAGCGCAGCGCGTCACCCGTGTTGGTGTTGCCCCCGTGGTAGGCGAGGCGCCGGGCCGCCGCCTTGACCTCCTCCCGCGAGCCGAAGAGGCCCAACTCGAAGGCGGTGGTGGGCTGGTCGCTGTAGCGCACGACCCCCACACGGGTGCGGTCTGGGCCCACCTCGAAGGTATCCACCAGGTTGGCCACCCACTGCCGGACCTTCTCAAAGTCCTCCTTGCCCACGCTGGAGGAGGTGTCCAGGAGGAAGACCAGATCGTAGTGGACACTTTTGCAACCTGCAGGGGGGAGAGAAGGCGTGGCATGGGGCAAATGGGCGTGGAAAGGACACTGTCCTGGGGCATGAAGGTCACTGGGGACACACACATCTGCTCAAATGCCCACCTGCCCTGTCTCTCACAGCCCAGGAGCCCTGGGCTGCCTGAAAGGTCTGAGTCTCAGTTTCCAAACTTTCACATGGGAATAATGATGCGCTTTCCCTGAGACTGCGGTCAGGGTCAACTGACAATATACAGCACCACATTAAAATCATTAACACCCACTGCATAGCTCTATGCCTTAATCTCCTCACTTTTATTTTGTTTAAAAGCTGATTCCATTTTTTTAATTATTTTTCAACCTACCACAAATAATGCATGCCCATTCCCGAGAAGTCAGAAAATGCAATCAAAAGATGTTTAGATGTTTAAATGCCCACATTCCCATCTTCACAGAGATAACCACTATTAAAGCATGATATATATATTCTTAATTATTTTTTATTTCCATATAGTTATTGACAGGAATGGGACTGTACCAGACACACTGATACATATGCTGTTCACCCTGCATTTAGTTATAAGCTAAGAATCCATTTCTAGTTTGATCATGCCAGTTTCCATGGCTGCACACAGTCCTCTGCAGATGAACATAATTGATTTAGCCAATGCTCTTCCGTTAGCTATTTAACTACTCAGCCCTTTACAGTCAGATAATGCAAGGGGAAGTGTTTTCTAATCTCTAGAATGCTGCACAAATATACAAGCAACTATCAAGAAGCCCTGGTCTTCAGGCCAGGTGCAGTGGCTCATGCCTGTAATCCTAGTAATTTGAAAAGTCAAGGTGGGCAGATCACTTGAGGCCAGGAGTTTGAGACCAGCCTGGCCAACATGGCAAAACCCTATCTCTACTAAAAATACAAAAATTAGCCACGCAAGGTGGTTTAGGACTGTAATCCTAGCTACTCAGGAGGCTGAGGCACAAGAATCCTTTGAGCCCTCTAGCCTGGGTGACAACAGAGTGAGATCCTGTATCAAAAAAAGCCCTGGTCTGACTCTTCTCGAATGTGGGGTTTGGCCATCCCGACAGAAGCAGCTGACCAGGCCTCTGGGAACACCAGCACAAACATTTGGCTATAAAAACAGAACTGAACAAAACAAAACAATAAAACCCTTTGTCGAAATACAAGATTGGAAAAGGTAAAACGGTCTGGCAGTGGCCCGGCCACATGAGAGTTGGAGGGGAATGTACCCGCCTGCTCAGCACAGTGCCATGGCTTTGTCACAGCCTTTCTCAGGGGCTTTGAAGCCTCATAAAAGAGGGTATCTTTTTATCTACCAATTCCAAGCTTAGGGATTTTTCCCAAGAAAACAATCAGATAAGTAGAAAAAAATGTATAAAGAAATTCACAGCAGCATGGTCCAAAAAACCCTGGAGATATTTACACAATCACCTATGTGGAACGACTTAAAGAAATTACTTAAAGAAAAGTCATGGCCGCGCACGGTGGCTCACATCTGTAATATCAGCACTTTAGGAGGCTGAGGCAGGTAGATCACAACATCAGGAGATCGAGACCATCCTGGCCAACAAGGTGAAATCCTGTCTCTATTAAAAAAACAAAAACAAAAACAAAAACAAAATATATATATATATATATATATATATATATATATATATATATATATATATATATATATATATATATATATATATATATGGAGGCAAGAAGGCAGGAAGGCAGGATCACGATGCAGCCCTGACAGTGACGTCTGCAAAGGAATCCTTATTTACCAACATGGATACACTTTTCAATACAGCATTGGGTGTGAAAAGCTGTTTATAAAATGATATGCATAATATAGAATTTCTGGGAAAAAAACCTGCGTGTGTGTGCATGACTGCGTATGTATGCATGACAGACCTGGGAGGGAAATAATTGCCTACCTCCAGCAAGCAGAGCTATGAGTGAATTTTATATTTTGTGTTTTCTGCTCTTATATTTGCAAGCAATACAGTTCAACAAAGCAGAAAACCAATAAAGCTGTAAGTATTTACACATATACACCCACAAATGTTTCCCTATGTGGCCTGAGCCAATGCCACCCTTGAATGTTCCACACCCACCTTTTCCTCTAGATTTGAAAATGCAAGTGACAATTGCATGTCAGGCACTGAGTTACATCCCAGCCCACGCAGGTCTGATCTTTAACAAGATTAAAACTCTGGAGTGTGTTCGAACAGATGTGTGGACTTGGAGATAATTCCTGGGGAGTTTTTCTTCTTGACACCAAGGTCATTCTTTTGTCCTTGGGACAATAACGTCCCAGGCTGTTGAGGATAATTGCTGCCGAAGGCCAGGCAGAACCCGGCCTGCAGGCTGTAATCCTAGAGCAAATTCGTTTTAAAGCAAGAGAAGTTTCACCTGTTCAGGAGGCCTCCCCCAGGGACCCTGTTGAGCTCAGGGCACATTTTCTCCTGGAGGCCAGGGAGCAGGTGGGATTGTGTGCCTGTGAGGGTAGAGTGTGATGTGGAGAGAAGAGATCTGAATTGGGGTGGGGGGGGCGGTGCCCAGGCTTCTGGCCTTGACTCTGCTAAGGAAGGGGCTGTGCCACTCCCAGCAGGTGAGTGCTTCTCTTGGGCCCACTGTTTTCCACTCTGAAGTGAGGGCATGGAGGAAATGACACTAGGGCCCTTTTGTCTTTAAATTTGAAAATCCTCGGCATCGGCTGTGCATTTGGGGCTGGCAAGATAGGCGCAGAAATCTCACGTCACCTGCCTGTAAAACAGGATGTTTTCGGCTGGGCAAGGTGGCTCACACCTGTAATCCCAGCACTTCAGGAGGCCAAAGCAGGTGGATCACAAGGTCAGGAGTTTGAGACCAGCCTGGCCAATATGGTGAAGCTCCATCTCTACTAAAAATACAAAAATTAGCCAGGCATGGTGGCACGTGCCTGTAGTCCCAGCTATTTAGGAAGCTGAGGCGAGAGAATTGCTTGAACCTGGGAAGTGGAGGTTGCAGTGAGTCGAGATCATGCCACTGTACTCCAGCCTGACAGAGCAAGACACTGTCTCAAAACAAAACAAAAAAAAAAAAAAAAAAAAAAAAAATACACGAGAGAACTCTGTAAATTCAATAAAGAAATAACGCCAACCTTTCCTTTTAAAGTCCAGGAAAAAAAGCCTTAGCGTATCACTTCCTGTAAGATGGGCACAGCAGTTTGCTTCCTGGATCTAGTGATAGGCGGTCTCCCTGCCGCCCTGTGGGCAGTACGAGAGCATCCCACCTATCTGTGTATCGAGGACCCCACCCCAGTGTGCAGGCTCCATGCTGGGCCCCCCTTCTCGACTCAGCACTGACCAGTGCCTTCCCCCGTGGCCAGGACCCTCAGACAGGTTAGCAAAGACCAGTGGCCATGTCTCCACCCTCCTGCCCGAGGCCTTCTCACCTCCAGTCAACTTTCTCAATTACTGGGTCTACTACAGAAACATGCTTTTCTCTCTGTCCTGGATGCCTTTGCTAAGTGGATTCCAGTGTGTCCATTTCCCCCAGAATGTGTCCCAAAGCCTTCATGGGACAACACAGCCAGGTCCTCACCCCTGCCTCCTCCCCAAGCTCCAGTTCTCCGCACACTTGGTAGAGTCAGGCTCACAACCCAGCATGTGACTGACCAAGACCTGTTAAAGCAACTCACTTCCTCTCTCTGTCACGCTCTCTCCTTCCCTCACATGCACACACACCCATTCCTCACATTCACACTCACATGCATGCTGCCATTGCCACACGTATTCACACTCCCCACATTACTTTGTGCACTCCCTCACACTCCCCTATACACTCACTAACACACTCACATACTCCCTCACACTCACACACACACTCCCTCAAACCCACACTCACACTCCCACATACTCCCTCACACTCCCTTAAATTCACACACACTCCTTCACACTCCCACATACCCTGCCTCACACTCTCACACACTCCCTCACACTCATACTCACACACACTCCCTCACACTTTTACACTCCCTCACACTCCCTTAAATTCACACTCCTTCACACTCCCACATACCCTGCCTTACACACACACACTCCCTCACTCTCACACTCACACACTCCCTCACACTCTCCATACACTCCCTCACGCTCACACTTTCACATACTCCCCCACACTCCCTTTAAATTTACACACACTCCAACATACCCTGCCTCACACGCACTCACACACTCCCTCACACTCCCCACACACTCCCTCAAACTCACACACACACTCCCTCACACTCACACTCCCACATACTCCCTCGCACTCCCTTAAATTCACACACTCCCTCACACTCCCACATACCCTGCCTCACACACACACTCACACACTCCCTCACACTCACATACTCCCTCACTCCCTCAAACACACACTCCCTCAACTCCCACACACTCACACACACTCCCTCACACTCACACTTCCTCACACACACACACTCATACATACGCAGGCCCTTGCTGGGCAGCTGGTGATTTTTTGGTCCCTAGATTGGAGGGCAGCTGACTCACACTTGGAGTCCTGACTCTCTCTCACAGTCAGTCGCGAGCTCACATGCATGTACACACCCCACCCCACGCTCACAGACACATGCTGACTGCTCTGTCCCCAGCACAGCACAGCACAGCCCACGGTGGCCCCACCTGCCCGCTGGGCCTGGCAGCCGCTGCCCCCGCTCCACAGCAGCAGCACCCAGAGGAGCCCAGCCACAGCGTTCCCTCGGAGGCCGGCCATGGCTCTCCCGTTCTTGGGGACAGGCTTTTCTTGGCCAGGAAGAGACGCTGTTACGGTCTACTGCAGCATGGCCTGTGTGGAGAAAGACACCCTTAGAGAAGGCTCTCAAGCTGAAAGTCTATGAGAGGCAACCTCTGGGCCCCGCTCGGGGAGACTCCCCCACACCCAGCCTCCCAACCCATCTTCCCTCCCAGATTCAACTCCAGGCAGCCTATGTGTGACCTTCCAGAGCAGAGCCAATGTGACCTCCCCTTCACTGATTTATGCCTGGATCCCCCCAGCCATCCAATTAGCATTTGGGCTTGCAGAAGGGAGCAGGAGAGGACCTTATGCCTGAGGACTCCACACCACATCCCGCCTTGTATGGCTTGGTTCTGTATCGCCACTTGAATCTCCCTCCCTGAAATCCCCACGTGTCCAGGGAGGGACCCAGTGGGAGGTGACTGGATCATGGGGGTGGTGTCCCCCATGCTGTTCTTCTGCCAGTGACTGAGTTCTCAGGAGGTCTGATAGTTTTATAAATGGTAGTTTTTCCTGCTCTCTCATGCATTCGCTCTCCTGCCACCAAGTAAGAAATGCGTGCTTCCCCTTCCACCATAACTGTAAGTTTCCTGAGGCCTCCCCAGCCATGCGGAACTATCAGTCAATGAAACCTCTTTCCTTCATAAATTACCCAGTCTTGGGCAGTTCTTTCTAGCAGTATGAAAACAGACTAATACATCACCTAAAATCATTCAGGAACACCATCTTCATCTAAATATGCTACAGGGGCCTCCCATGACCCGCCTACCCCTGTCCAGCCTGGCCTCTCACCTCACCTCACTCCCCAACCATGCTGTACTTGGTAGCCATGAACTTTCTAGTCATGTCCCACAGGTTCCAGGTAGAAGGGCTCTCTCTGCCTAAAATCCCCTCACCCACTCTGGGAGTCTCCGGCAGTGCTCAGCACAGATGCTCCCCTTCTGGAAAATTTTTTCCAGATCTCTCACTTCCCTAAGGGTTAAGGGGTCACTGCTCAGCTACCTGCAAGTGAACCCTGAGCTCCCCAGCAGGGGGATGTGACTCTAATCCTCCATTTGCCTCATTGTCGCCCCTGTAGACTGCCTGATCCCTGGACACTGAGGCCAGGCCAACTTCCCTGGGCATAGAAGATTAGGGCATTTACACATGGTCAGTGAATACCTATGAAGGAAAGAACTAATGGAGAATTCTGCAAGGGATTCCTGAACCTCAATGTTTGCCATGGTAGGGAAGTTATCGCAAAGGCAGTTGGACAAACAATCCTCATAAGGGTTATTCTGCTTCAAATAATGAGTGACTGCTTTTTAAAAGATTCTAATAAACAAAAAAATATTAAGATGGTGGCAAGGGAGTACGTCTTGAGCAAACGTACTTGAGTAAACGTACATTTACCCTTTGTAAAATACCAATCTGATGCAGGTGTTTACAATGACCAGAGGGAAGACTGCAGAGAACCATGAAATGACATCCTGTGAACTGGCATGTCCACTGCAGCTTGGAGTCACATGCCACCACTGGCACTCTGGACCAGGGCTAGAAGGGTAATGCAAACATAAAGAACATGTGGCTGGGTAGTGAGCGCAGGGATGTCTGTGTATGTGTTTCTGTTTCTAATATTTCTTTGAATTATGTTGACATTTCCACTCTTCGTCAATGACAACCTAAATTGTTAAAATGCTCTGGTGAATCAGAAGAGAACCTCCAAAAGCCTGGATTAAATATCAACAGGGCTGTGCCTGATGACAAGCACAGGCAAACCAGTTTCTGGGATCATCCCCCAATATACACACATGTGCATGTGTGCACGTGCGTCCGCACACACGCACGCGTGCGCGCGCACACACACACACACAGAAGCAAGCTGAATGGACATTATGAGCCACCGATCCTCATCTGCTGCAGGAGCCCTGCCTGCCCACTGCGTCTACTGCACGGTCACCCTCCAGTCCTAGGAATTATTTGTGGCTCCAAGAACACAAACATGCTCACACCCTGCACTCTGTACAGGTTGCTTCTCCATCCCGGAATGCCCTTCCTCCACTTGACCTCTAGGTGCTCAATCAGATCTTCCAGCTCCCTGTGGAGTGGCTGTGGTCATTCCCATTCCTCATGTTATATGTGATCTCAGCCAAGTCACATAACTTGCCCAAGGTCACACTCCTGGAAGTGATGGAGCAGGCATGGGACACCCCACAACCAGCAGACACATTACTCCAAGGAAAGCCAGACCCCCATTCTATATCAAGTCTAGGTGTCTCTGCTGCACCTGCAGCCCCTTAGGCCCTGGAAGGTTAAGCCTAGAAGGTTAAGGTACAGCCCTGCCTCCCAACAAGCCAGGATCTCAGCCCGGAAATCCCTCCTACCCACTGTATTCACCAAATGCCAACGTCACAGCATTGACGTGATACGGCTTCTAACACAGCATTTTTAGATGCATTTCGTCAAACAGATTTATGACCCAGTGCTGGGCTTTATATCAAATGCCTCACAAGTTCTGTATGGAACTTTTATTTTCCAGCAACCCATTCAGGTTGCATCTATCCTCCAGATTTTGCCCATAGACTCCCATCTCTTTTCCCACACCCCCTGGCACCCTCTGCAGGCTTGGGGGCTGATATCTGGATGCTTGCATCCAGATAAATTGTTCCCCATATCACCTTCTCCCCTCTCATCCTTTGCCAGCTCCCTGATGAATGAGTGGATGGATGAATCTGGTCATATTCCTCACTTGAGAGTTAAACATGTATTTGTTCCCGTGGGATCTGGCAGGGGTCCCAGGCGCAGCCTGTGTCATGCCAGGCTGTGATCATCTGCCCCGGGTCTGTCTCTCCTGTGGCCTAGTGAGGAGGGTCTTTGAAAGCAGTGACTGTGCCCTGTTGGTTTCTGTAGTACTGGTGACCGGCACAAAGCCTAGCACAGAATAGGAGCTCAGTTAATGCTCAGATTTTAAGGGAAGGAAGAGAGAAAGGAAGAGAAGAGAAGAAGGAGGAAGGAAAGGGGAAAGAAGGAAAGAAAGAAGGGGAGGCTGACAGCTTGGCTACCACAGGGAAATACTGAACTCAGGGAATCTGGCGTCTTGGCAGTTTCTGGACATAGGCAAATCCAAGTGTCATTCCTGTCTCCATTCTGCCTAGGACTCAGTAGTGCCCAAACTTGATCTCCTTGTTTGATTTTGTGAACAGTCTAAGATTACTTAAGTATCTATTACTAATAGAAAAGAAATGGGCTAAGCAGTTTTTATTTGCGTATTATCTGATTGGACCCTCACATTCATGCTATGAGCTAAGAACCACTATCTCATGAAGAAAGCACAGCATCGGGGGATTAAAGTCTCAGCTGTGAGTGGTTGTGCTGGGATTTGAACTCAGGTCGCAGGCTGTTCTCCATCCCCTTTCCCTGCTGGGGATGTTTTCTTTCTCTTTTTATTATAACGCTTTTACTTTTTAAATTGTTATGGGTACGTAGTGGGTGTATATATTTATGGGGTACATGAGATGTCTTGATAGAGGCATGCATTGTGAAATAGCCACATCGTGGAGAATGGGGTATCCATCCCCTCAAGCACTTATACTTTGAGTTACAAGCAACCCAATTACACTCTTTATTTTTAAATGTAGAATTAAGTTATTATTGACTATAGTCACCCTATTATGCTATCAAGTAGTAGGTCTTATTCATTCCATTTTTGTACCTGTTAACTAACCCCACCTCTCCCCCACCCCCAGCCCCTCTCTACCCTTCACAGCCTCTGTTCTTTTTCTCTCTGTCTCTTTTTCTTTTCTGAGTTGGAGTCTTGCTCTGTCACCCAAGCTGGAGTGCAGTGGCATGATCTCCACTCACTGCAAACTCCGCCTCCCAGGTTCAAGAAATTCTCTGCCTCAGCCTCCCGAGTAGCTGGGATTATAGGTGCCTGCCACCACACTCAGCTAATTTTTGTATTTTTAGTAGAAACGAGTTTTTGCCATGTTGGCCAGGCTGGCCTTGAAATCCTGACTCGATCCACCTGCCTCGGCCCCCCCAAGTGCTGGGATTACAGGCCTGAGCCACCATGCCTGGCCAGTCTCTCTTAACATTGTATCTTGAGGAATGTCTGACCTATTAAAAATTCCTTTAAAATGTCACCACTATTGGCTACCTAAAACTATATCTGTGACATAAGCACCATTGTTTTCATTGCAATTTGAGACATTTAGTAGACCATTTTATTTATTTAATATGCTACAGAGGACATCTTTATATCTAAGTCTTACCCATCTTTAATTATTTTCTTAGGGTAGATTTGTAGAAAAATGCTTGGTAGGGGGGCAAGCGCAGTAGCTCACACCTGTAATCCCAGCACTTTGGGAGGCCGAGGTGGGTGGATCACCTGAGGTTGGGAGTTCAAGACCAGCCTGACCAACATGGAGAAACTCTGTCTCTACCAAAAATACAAAATTAGCTGGATGTGGTGGTGCATGCCTGTAATCCCAGCTACTCGGGAGGCTGAGGCAGCAGAATCCCTTGAAACCAGGAGGCAGAGGTGGCAGTGAGCTCAAATTGCACAATTGCACTCCAATCTGGGCAACACAAGGAAAACGCCATCTCAAAAAAAAAAAAGAAGAAGAAGAAAGAAGGAGGAGGAGGAGGAAGGAGGAATAAGGAAGAAGAAGAGAAAAGAAAGAAAGA